AAAAAGGATGTCATCTTAATTATGTCGCTATACCATTGTGCTGGGCTCTACCTCATTCATAGGGCACCACCCTTATCAGTCCTTCTGTGCCAACTTCAGAAAGATCTACTGATTTATAACAGATGTTATATTGTATTTGTTCACTGGACAGTCTGCAGCGCAATCTTAACTTCTACTTGAATATTCGGACTGTTCTAGTTCTCAAAGAGTAGATAATTGAAAAAAAGATTAATTGCATCATTCTGATTAGACCCTCCTTTTTCCCTCATTCAGGCATTAGCCTCTGCATTCCATTAGAAATATTGCAAAAATATGCATAAGCATATGGGGCAAATCTTTTGGAGAAAATCTTTTAGATAACCTCCTTTTCTAAAACGACTATTCATGCGCCATATCTCCAAGATATCATTCTTGTTTATAGTTTCCTTTTCACTAACTTACTACATTAATAAGGCCAACGGATAATTTCATATGCCTTTCTGGATGATCCCTTAATTTTCACATTTTCACTTTCCAACTAGCAAATGCGTTTATCTATTTACGATTCTAGCCTGAGATTCACTTCATTTAAAAAGACATAAACTAATATAGCATCGCTATTTCAAATGAAAAATTTGGTGAACGCAAGTTGGATCCCGAGGAATTCCTTTGTTCATAATTGTCGAACTGACTTACTTTTCAAGTAAAAGTGTCTAATGAAGAGATTCCCAGTTCGAGCCTATCAGAATAAGAAAGTATATTCCTCTTGGCCAGCTATAGATTGGCATTACTGGAACATTATTTTGAGTGCCGTTTTCGATTTCGTAAGATGAACATGATCTGAGCAGGGTATCATCTTTACAATAATATTCAGGCTAATCAGTCAAGAAAACTCACTTTTTTACCCATAAATACTGTAAATATGCCTTATATATATAATTTTGATGAGTTATAGAGTAATTTGATAAGTTTAAGTCGTGTCTGTCAAAACTCTCTCCATATCTCATCAAAAAACCCAGATATGGGGTAAATATACGGCATTTAGGGCTAAAACGGTTAGTTTTTTTTACATGTTAGCCTGAATATTTTCGTAAGGAGGATAGCCGGCTATGATTATTCTTATTGTACGACAGAAGAAAATTTCTCACGTTTTCATTGGAATCGGAGAAGATTACCTTGCAAAGAGCGCCATCAAGAATGTCCCAGTAAAGTCTATCGACAGCCGATCGAAGGAATCCGTCGTCGCCTTCAGGTGGAATCGACCTTCGAATTTCTTTTCCAAACATTTTCACTCAAAATGGAAGTAAATCCAACAAATAATTGTTGATTTATTTGAAGCTCTTACAATAGTTTTTATATTCACTTCTTTTCTAAATATTACTTGCTATATATGTATGCAACAGTTCAAATTCAGAATAGCAAAAATATCGTCAGCATTTCTGGGATTCACCAAAAGGCCTCAACACTTGGGATAATTCATAGTTTATATTGCACCATATAGAAAGTGAAGAGGTTTGGAGCAAGCCCCTAGTCTTTGTATTCAATTTAAGACCTTAGTGAAAAGCAATGAGCGGGTATAGGAGCTAAGATGCACGGACCCGTATGCAGTAGGCCTATGAAATCCATGGCTATTCTCGCAATTAGGAAGAATATTTAGGCTTTAATGGAAATGTCTGGCATAGATGT